ATCTTGCATCAAAGACAAGTGATAGATTTGCTATCTAACCAGTCCTAAGTTGGTTGTTCAGTCTACAAATTTTTCGTTTTCACAGGCTTTGGTCATTTGAACATTAAAACTTCATGCTCAAGTTCATAGAAGGCAACAGAAATGGAAAATATTGCTGGTCAGGTCATAACTTAGGTGACCAGAAAGTCCACCACTTACACTGGCTGCTCTGCTGCTGCTGTTACATTCCTTCCTTGGAAGGAAATAGGAAAAAGTCTTCTAGCCTAAAAAATATGAAGAATGGAAAAGTGGTCCCTGAGATTTTGTAAACTATTGGTTAATCTGGAAAATAGTTACCTCCGCTTTTAAAGAGTACTTTGCTGCATCACTCACAAAAACAAACATATAAACACCTTGAGTTTACTTAATGCCATCTTTCTGGCCTGGTTGTATAGAAAGTTGTGTTGAAAAAGCTTCAGCCATATTTTCTACAAATTAAAATCATTCAGCATCAGTCTCTTCTTTAACACCACCTCGATATATACCCAAAGAAGAAGCATTTCTCTTTCCAGCATTTGTGTAAGAGGAGAATATTGTGGATTCATTGTGAAGAGGACAGATTTGGGTACATACAGACAGGTTAATGTTATTCCCAAGCATCAGGCTGAGAAGACTGTCAGAGCTGGGAGAGGAGCCCACATGCTCCAGAGCTCAGTCTGGAGTAACTGTATCAGCTTTCCATGTCGGTCAGTCCCCATTAGCTGCCCGGGACATACGAGGAGCTGAATGCTCCCGGTGTGCATTGAACTGCCTCGGAGCAGTCACTGTGTCCCTGTGTGTGCTGCTGCATGGTGTGCCTGTCTGGATTTGACTGTTATTTGCAATGGCTCTGTCTGCCCTCCCCAGCTAGTACCAAATTCACAGGAGCCTTATTCTGAATTCTTTTGATAGAGCAAACGTGGTGCAAAATGAGTGATACTTTCAGGTCACATTCAATTAACCTGAGAGATGTCTACTGCCGTTTCTTCTTGCCTGGTGCCACTCCAGCAGGACATGGGTCTCCCTGTCTTCCACATTATGTCTACCAGCCCCAGACAAATGTCTTGAATATCCTACAGTATTTCAAATTGCACCAAGTGCCTGAGTTTAGACAACTGAATCTCTTCCTTAGTCCCTTCTCTGCAGTTTACATAGGTCTGTGTTGTATTTAAACAGTTACAGTGGGACTTGTGGTCTCTGCCTCTGATACCGTACATGAGGCTCACCAGAACTTCTGGGAAGTGCTCAAAGACACTTGAGTCAGTTTTATCATTTGCAGACCTCCAGGTAAAGCTGGTCTACCTATAACAAAATGGCAGCTTGTGTCATTGCAAATCCATTGACTTACCACTGGTTTGGGTTTCTTTTTAATGCAGCATTTGCAGCTAGGCTTATCAGAGAATTTTCTCTCTTTCTTAGAATGAAAACTTTCTCCTAAATGTCCATCTCCCGTGGCACTAATTTGATGAAATGCTGCTGTAAGTTTCATTTTGTCTCTAACTGCGCAAATGACTGCCGAGGAGTAATTATGCATTGTAGCCCGCACTTAGTGGAGCACTGAAGGCTGTAGTTTAGTAGTCACTTTGCTCCATTCTGTGCTCTTGCACAAATCTCTGCTCATCTACATAAGTAGTAAGTGCGCAGGCTTCCAGGAACCACTTACCATTTTGAGCTTGGGCTAAACGCTCACCAGTGCTGTATTTTTAGTGCCTCACGTTTTACCAGAAAGGCAGTGTAAAGGTTATCAAGTTCTTCCCTAAGTCAAAAAAAAAAAAAGTGTATGTGAGAAAATACCACTGGTAATGTTTATCCAGAATGTAAGACATTGTATCAGAATAAGTCATATTTTTCTTGGATTCTGGCCAAAACAGCTGTCAACTAAAGAAAAGTGTATAGGGTTAGAAGGGAAGAAGGCTATGGAAAAAAAAAAAAAATTAGAGGCCCTTTTGTTTTCCTTTCCAAATACTGTTGTGAGAAAGAGTCTTCCTAGGCGTATTTAGAAGTCATGTGAGCTACTGGAAACTACCAGTAGTTTTGCCTCACAAAACATGTATCACATTTTAAATTCCCGATGCTAACAATTTTAAGAGCCCTGTGATTATACCTTCTAGCTTGCTTTGTAGGTGAGTTTGGAGAAGAACAATCGCTCTTTTAGGAATTTGGAAATGCAAACTAAAAGATCTGCTTTTTCCAAAGCTCCCTCTGTAAAAGCAAATAAGAATCCTTTCATTTTCACTGCATTGTTCTCTTTCCTTCAGAAGAAAAATCTGTGAATTGGGTATTATTATCCCAGTTGTCTAGATAAGGAGATTGAAGCAGAGATTGAGGGGCAAATTATGTGTAGTCACTGCGTAAGTGCACAGAGGATAATGAAAGAGACCTCTTCTGACCGTTATATCCATCAAGGAGAATATAAATTTGCTGTAAGACTCACTGAATGATTCCCATTGATTGACATGAGAAAAGAGCTGGTCAGTGCAGTGGACCCACACTGCATGTTTGGAGCTCAGGAATTCCAGTCCCAAATACATTTTTCTAGATAAATTACCCATAAAATTCTCAAGCCAATAGTTTCCATTATTTCCTGGAGAAAGCCCAGCATGGACAACCTTAGTAATAGAGTTTTTGGCTGTATTGCAGAACAGTTGGGCAGTAAACAGAAGGATACAGTCAGGTACCAAGAAGCTGGTGAGCTGACATAGCCTTTGTGAAATTAGGTCTTATTCTCTGATAGATATGGGTTTACACATCCTTCTTCCAAGGTTTTGGAAACAGCTTCTTCACAGTACCTTAGAAAAAGAATCTCAATGTGTGTTAGTAATTTTCTTCAGCTGTGGACAGCAATCCTGCAAGACCAGCTTTGTAAAGAAGAAAGCAATATTTGCCTTCCACGCTGGACAGACCTGTTGCTTAGCTGGTGCAATTTGAATGATTCTCCCAACAAAAATGCTCTCTCTGAGTTTGCAAATACATTGGTTTAAAATGCACTCAGAGGACAGCAAGTATTTTTTATTAATTTTTTTAAACTTTGCACTGCAAAACCAGTATGAAATTCAATTGGTTCATTCTTTTTGCCACCTTCAAGCTGAGCTTTTTCTTTGCCAGACTTCTATCCCAATCTGAATGCTGCAGTGAGCTTAAATCTTTTTGTCAGATTGCTCAGATGAGTGGTCTCACGCATTTTTTTGTGTGTGTTCTTCAGGGTACAGTAGGATTGCAGTCTTACAGCATCAGTTGCCTGTGCTGGAGACGTTGACTGATTCGTGCCACCTTTCTCTGAATCCAGCAGGGGGAAAACTCAGTTTACCATGACTCTTGCAGTGTGGGTGCTGGACCTGAGCATCATCAGTTCACGTGGGCTTCTGGGGATGTTCAGGGCCTGTCAAAGCTCAGATCAATGGCAAATGTTGGAAGAAATTGTGTTCCAGTCACAGAGCACTGTGTCTCTTCCTCTGTATGTAAACAACCAATACATATTTCTGTCTTAGATTCTAGTTTTGGAAACCACTTAGGCATATATGTAGCTTTGCCACCTTGAATTTGTCCCTGTTTAGCAAAAGGATGTGTGTCTGAAAAGAGTTTTGGAAGGCTTCCTTGCAGATGTGTTAGGCTGTTTTTATTGATCCCACATACATGAACTCAGCTTTATAAGTGCAAGGCAGTTTAGGTGCAAGTAGAAGAATTGGGTTCCAGGGCTGCTACAAAAGACATAAAGGAAAGGTGAATGACAAAAAAATTAAAATAAAGTAAAATAAAATACATGGTGCTTCAACGTCTGCTTTCAGTTGCTCCTATTATGAGGAAGGGAAAAATAAAATAGTGAAAAAGGAAGCTACACTGTTAGATGTCGTATAAATCAATGTCAGGAAACACCCCTGATTTTTTATTCAGATTATTATCTCAAAGGGCAGCAGAAAAATGGCATTTTTCAGGTAATGTTTGACTACCAAAAAATGTCATCTGTTACTGTATGTATCTGTGATATTAAGGGTTTGATCCTGAAAAAGGGCAAATCTGCTTCACCTGACCAGAGTTAGTTTAGGTGTGGCTAGAATGGAAAATTATTTTTTCAATGGGCTAATCGCCAGGGCAAAACTTAGATACAGTGTCACAGACGACAATGTCTTAAGTTCAGAAGAGGAACGGGTAGCTGGAAAAAATGAATTGCCAATGTGAAATCCTAGTTTCAATCATTTAGATAGAAAAGCTCTGCTGGTCAAGATTTTTTCTTCCTAAGAAACAGAAGGTCTGTTGTGTAACAGGTTGCCATGCGTATTTTTTTAATTTTAGTTATTTTTGTTAGGATTTTTCTTAGTTTCATCTTCTTTTTCTTTTTTTTCTTTCAGTAAGCCAACACTTGGCACTCATTCTGATTTCAGACTTGTTTTAAATCCTTGTACAACTTCATCAAAAACGATGGAGTTATTTTCTGGCAAAATCGAGCCCCTTTATATGTTTCATTAGAAACAGCTCTCAAGGGATTAGTTTCTCTTTCCTCCTCCGCTCCCTCCCCTCAGGATGCAGAGTGATTGTCTAACAGTACTTAGCTGTTTTTATTTTTCATTGCCATGCAATTTTTATTTAATTAAGGTGCAGATACATTGGCACAGCGTGTACACAGAATGGCTAGTGGTCAGCTTTAAAATATACGGATATGCAAAACCTTTGCCTTGGCACACGCTGCTTTTCTGCAGCTCAGCTGAAATGCATACTTCACAGTGAAGCCAGACCGTTTCTTTGCGACAGGCTTTATTAATCCTAATCTTTTGATCGCCAGCACACGGAGTACGCTCAGGCGCCACAGAGACCCTTCCATCAGCGTGGTGGTGTGTGTCTCGAAGGCTGCGTATTTTTCATACTTTGGGGAATGAGTTTCAGAACCCCAGTGGAACCAGAGGGGCTGAAATGACAGTGTGTTTCAGAGCAACAATGCGAAGCAAAAAAAAGGGGGAGACCCAACATTTTTCTCCTCTTTCATTTAGCAGGAGAGGTGAAGAAATGGCTTCGGCTAAGCATGAGAATGAGGACATACTCATTGCTGCCCAACTCCAGCAGACTTTGGCTGGCCTGGATGAAGATTTAGAAGGTAGGGAAGTGTGTTACCTCTGAAGTACAAAAGAGAGAGGCATAACCAGGAGGTACAGGGTCAAACCGTACTCTGGGACATCTGCGCATTTCTCACTAAGATCACTGGGAACAACCGACAGGTCGGAGGCAGAATGTGGTCCACCCAAAGTGGCTCCTCTCCCTTTGCTTCGGGGGTGGCCACTCTTTATAGGCTGAATATTTTTCAAGCTGCTTATTAGATTGTCATTGTATTTCGGTGCCTGCTACCAAGAAGAGATGAACAGCAGTTTATGGACACATTTTCTGGGCCAAATTTGGTATAATTTCATTGACTTCAGCAAAGCTAAATCAGTTGTGAATTTAGCTCTGTGTTTAATGAACAATGCCTCTGTTTTCTATTTTATCATAATGAAGTGGAGAAGGGGGGGGACGTTTTTGTACCCAATGCCTCCTCTGAATTAGCAGACATGATTTAAAGTTAAAAAATTAAAACCATGAACAGAAACAGTGGGAAGAGACAAAATGTCATATTGTGCTCTTCTTTTTCCTAATGTGAATAAAAATATTTCCCTATTAATGGTTAGTCACCAAATGATGTTGAATACTTCTTTAAAACTTCCCATCTTTATTTCAGTACTGCTGCAGTGGATTTGATTCTAATTTAATTTCTGTGAGTTCTCTAACACTGCAATTTCTTAGCTTCTGTGTTGTAACCCTTGATTTACACCAGCAAATTTGAGAGGAGAGTTAAGCTTCTTGCACAATGAGACTTCTGGAGTCACTGGTAATGAAGGGTGAGAAGAATGGAGAAAAAATACAAGTACTGTTTCTTTGTTTGCTTGCTCAAGGAAATCCTTCAGCTGGGCTGTTATTACTAACCAGGTCTGGGAAACATAATTTGGAGTTGCTCGCTGTTTCTCAGAAATGTTTCTCCTTTGGAGTCATGTGGTGAAATGTTTATCACTGAGAGAAGTTAGTCAAAGATAAGGTATGAACAATAGATTAAATTCTGCTTTCAGCTGCATTTGTATGTTTCCCACTGGCTGAAGCGGGAGGACTGCAGGAATATTTGGCTGATCCTAATCAGCAACCAGACAATAAAAAGGACCCAGATCTCTCCTTTTTTGTAGTACAGGCATAAATATATTCCTGTTAGTTTTAGTGTAACTGAAATATCTGATCCGCTTAAGCTTGTACTGGCCATTTGGGTAATTTAAAGTCATATTGCTTAAACACTGCCTGTATGTAATGTTGTATGTGTATTTTGCAGCAGCGGATGGTATAAGTAACTCTGACTCCGAGTGCAATGAAGTATTGAGCCCACATACAAGAAAAGTTGAGGCTGCCCAAGATGTTACCATTTCTGTTCCAGTAACAGTCATAGATGATGCTCCAGAAGTTAGCACCTCTAACTCAGCTGGAAATCAAGAGACAGAGACAAGGGTTTCACAAAATATCTCAGCTGACTCTGTTAATACAGGAAACTTTACAAATAAAAATAACAATGCAGGTTCCTTTGATAAGGGGCACACAGATGGTGGAGCTATATGCATATCCAAGGACCTAATACATCAGCAACCATCTGAAAATGAATTCAGTCACCTGCCTGTGGAACAGAGGAGAGATATGTTTGAATCTCTCACATCCTCCTTCGAAAAAAGAAGTGAAAAGAACTTAAGACTGGAACCCCTCCCCAAACATGGCCTGAAGTCTGAGGAATGTAAATCTAAGCTGACTCCATCTCACTCCAAGGCAACAGCTGAAATCAGTACAGCAAAAGAGAAGATAAATCCATTTAATGAATGTAGTAACAGGGAAAGATCTCTGAAAAAAAGCAAGTCAGAATTAGAAATCAAATGGCCACCAGGAAAAAAAATTGAAGTAGAAGAAGTCTCATCAACACCCACATGGTGTCATCGTGCCCAGAATTCAGGAACAAACTATGAACCCAAAATGGGTTTGACAACCTTTAAAGTTGTCCCTCCCAAACCTGAAGTAAAACATTTCGATAGAGGAGTTTCACTCGCCACTGGTGCCATTAAGATAGATGAACTGGGCAACCTTGTAGGCCCAAACACTGGTGTCAGTAAGCACATACCAGGCACCTCTACTGATGAAAGTGAGGAAATTCATCTTGGGAAAGTGAAGGCATTCTGGAGGTCAAGTTCTATAGAAAAGCAAAGTGATGACTCTGCTGAGCATCCTCCTAAAAAGTCAGCAATCACCACAACCTCTAAGCCCTTTACTATAAAACATGAACACAAACCCGTCAGTCTTGCAGCTCCAAAACCTGTAGCACCACAAACTGTTACTACCCAGATAGCTGAAAGACAGTCTGAGAATGAAAGGACCAAACCACTTCTTCCAGTTACACAGTCTCAGGTAACACAATTAGTCACCCCAACCAGTAATAAGGACAAGCTGGAGCTCCCATTTGTAAAGCCACATAGGAGGACTTCAAGCCAGTACGTTGCCTCTGCCATTGCAAGACACATCAGCGTAACTACCTTGAAGTCCGACTCTATGGAATGTCATGAGAAAGATGAAAATAAGCAAGGGGCAGGAGAGGTTAAAACTGAAGCAGGAGTTTCACCAAAAAGATGTGTTATTGCCAAATACAGCCCTGTGGAAACAGAATCAGCAGAAACAAAAGAAACGCTTTCAAGTATTTTTACTTGCAGTCAAAAAGCATCCCACAGGTTTACACCTGGTGATAATTCTGGCATGGAAAACAAAGTAGTTAACATCAGGGCACCAAATCAAGCAACTCCTCTGAATTTCTATAAAAAGAATACTAGTGTCCCACTTACTAAATCCTCTTCAAAGGATAACAACAGTGCAGAAGATTATGGTTTAAGCAGCAAACAAACTATAGCAGAGAAAAAGACATGTCTTTTGTTGGACCAGAAATGTGAGACTTTGACCCATACTAATTCAGCCTCATCTCTCAAGTCTCCTGATCTCCAAGGGGTCCCGTCCTCTTTCAGCTCATCTTTGCGAATCACTAAGTGGCCGCCTCCTAACGGTGTACAAGGTAGTTCACTTAAAGCTTCATCCGAGCTAAATGGTGCAGCAGCAAACGCAGAGTCAGAACAGGAGGAGAAACCTGATGATTCGGATATTAATGCTATCAGTGAACTGGATGTTAATGTGCAGACTAATATCTTTGGACCAAAGAAGAAGTTCAAACCTGTCGTCCAAAAACCAATTCCAAAGGACACATCACTGCATAGTGCCCTAATGGAGGCCATTCAAACAGGAGGGGGAAAGGAGAAACTCAGAAAGGTAAAGTGGAGACTTTTTTTAGCCTGTTCAGACTGCAGAGCCCTGTACTCGCCCTGTCAGGCACCAGAGGTTTTATAACTCGTACAGTTTCTGGTCAGCTGGAGTACACAAGGCATTTGAAAAATTTATAATGGCAAAATACAGACCAAGGCACTGCTTATTCTGCACATCCTGTACATTATGCAACACCGTTGGTGCTGCACTAGCTAGAAGAGGCAGAGGGTGCAGAGATACAGCATAAAGGAGCGGTAATTGAGGTTAGCCTAGGAGCCCAACACGCATTCCAGTGCATTATGTAAAAACAGGAACACATACCATGGAGAAAACCTGTAAATACCTGCAATGAAAGAAAACTGCATTTTGTATTACTAGGTGATACTAGTTTGCCACTGACTTCATGCTCAGGGGATATGAGACTGCATCTGTAAGTACAGCATTGCTATCTACACATATCCTCACCATTCAGTGTCAGTAAGGGCTGTAAAAGCAAGCCCGAAAGAAGACAGACTGATTAGTCTCCATAGCTTGCATTCTGGTACAAGTGCCAAAAATATTTTTAGTAGTGTTTCCAAACTATCTCTAAGTAAATATCTAATAACAATGTGAGGTTTATTCTTTTCATATTCTAGGTTTCAGACAGTGCACTAAATGGCAATCACAGGAAACCATCATATGCTGAGCCAGAGAATGAGCGCTCAGCCCTACTAGCAGCAATTAGAGGCCACAGTGGCACCTCAAAGCTGAGAAAGGTAAGAAATCAAGATGGTAAGTGATCTTTTAAGTGCTGTCTGTTCCTGCTGGGTGTTTTGAATAAACCCAGATATGCCACAAACTAAACATTGTGCTGTAAAGAGAAAAGTTGATGGGGATGTAATATGACACAAGGCCAGATCTGACTTACACAGATAGCATAGCGGGTCCGATCCTATCCTCTGCCGTAAAACTTAAAAATCTTTCAAACGGTGCACTTTTAGCTGAGAAAAAAAACATAGAAATCCAAACGAATTACAAGGACTATACATAGAAGACATCAAATGTTCATCATTTTCACATTTAGGTGGGGGATTTTGTGCTTTAGGAGTATGCAGTTAGATTGATATAGTTGCATTAACTACCATATATATCCAATCCTTGTTACCTGGAAACACACTAGGGCTTCTTCATTCATGCTGTTTATCTGTTAACACAAGCATGTTGTACACAAGTAATTGATGTTGATGGAACATCAGCTTTCACCACTGCAGGATGATTCATTCTGTCTGAAAGATTTATCTAATCATTAAAACATCTCTTATTACTAATAGCCAAAACCTGCATTGTTCTAGCCTTAATTTTCACTCAGTTCGCTAATCCAGCCAAGGATGTGTATTTGGCAAGGAGGTTCCCGTTTCCCTCGTGCAATGACTCAGGCCATTAGCACATATCCAGATAGCTGGTATTAGATAGAAAGAATCTCTTGCTTGTGTTAGGCAATTACTTCATCCCTCACATATCTTACTGCCCTTGCTGCAGGTAGGGTACAGCTTCCCCTGAGCCCGAGAGCAGGACATGCTAGGCAGCAGCCATCTTCACACATACTTAACTACATTCTGCATTCATTGGGAATAAATGTAAATTTGTGTAAAAGACACTCTGACAATGAAGTGGTGGTGTATTATCACAGAGACTTTTTGGAATACTTTCCTCCCAGAGAAGCTTTTGCCGTCATTTTAAAGGAAGTTGCTTAGAAACCGTACGCCTCTTTTTCACACCATGTCACCTATGCTTGTTAAAGCACCTTGTTTGTATGCGTACAGGGCAAGATACAGATGTGCTATGATGAAAAGGCTGTCCCTTTCATGTTATCTCAAATGTTCTTATTTTATCTGACATTACATTGTTTCCATATATTGTGTGTATGTGTACAGTGAAGGAATAGAATATAAGAGCTCTCTGAATGTGGACTATTTGATGGGAAATGAATCCTTTCATTTTTCACTAGATAAGTTTTGTGCCTCAGTTTCTCTGAAAAAGGAATGCTAATGCATCTGCTTGAAGACCTCCCATTTGGCACATGATACTGAATTTCCTAATAATCGCCAAATCATTGCAATTACTAACAGTTTATCATGCTTATTCCTAGTAACGTCGTTAACGGCAAAAATATTTGTTGAGACAGTTGATGGAAAAGCTGGCTTAGTCTGAAAGATCGCCTCCTCTCCCTGCATTCATTTAAAGTACGATGAGTTTCCAAGCTGGTAATTCGTGCAGAAATTTTAGTTTCCGAAATTCCACAGAAACATGCTTGGAAGAGCAATCAATTGATTTTGTTCTCAGTGCTTTCACGTAGTTCTCTCTGGTCCTATTTTATTATTTTTTTTTAGTGTGGCTGGAAACTTTAGGTTTAACGGCATTTTTTTCAATGAAGCCATGTCTGAGAGCTCAGATCTAGAAGAGCCTCCCTGTCATCTGAGATTATTTCTGTGCAGCCCAGACTGCAAAAAGTAATGAGATTCCTGGGTGGCTACTGCAGCCTTAATATATCTTCCTGATTCCAAAACCCTCGTGGTTGTTTCCAAATGAGTACCAAGTCCAACTCTCTCTCTTACCTTACATACCAAGAAGAGTTACAGGATGCTGGAGCTCACAGTAAGTAAAGACTGAGTTTCTGAGACAGAGTCAATGCCAAATCCTTGATGCTGGTAATCAGCCCAGCTGAGTGATGCGAGTGAGTAGTAACAGATGTTCAACCCCATGAGCAAACAAAAGTTCTACATGTTTTACATCATTCAAGCAAAGTGGAATCGGGGTACTGAAAGTGCATCAAATGTCAAATAATTACAGTTTAATCATGCTTGATATTAATTACCTCCTTTCAACTGCATCTTGAGCAGATCTCCTCACTGGCCTCCAAAGAGCTGCAGAGTTTTAGGAATGCAGAACTGTCCTTGCAGAAGGCAGCAGACCCTCAGGAAGAGCAGCTTTGTATCCCACCTGCCCCCGCCCAGCCGCCACCACCACCTCCCACTCAGCTGTCAGCAGCAGCTCCTAAATCCTCTGCCACGGCTACAGGTAACCCTGGGGAGGCAAGGCAAGCCCTAATGGAGGCCATTCGCTCCGGTGCTGGAGCAGCAAAGTTAAAAAAGGTAAATGTACTTCTATTTTTTATTATGGATGAAACGACCTAGGCTTGCTGTGCTTTGAGAGCCATTTATAAGCTATTCTAGCCCCATATTTCTTTCTTCCATCAGAAGGAGGTATATGCACTGTTTTCTCTAAGTGAATCAAAGATCAGGAGTGTATTTCAAACCTTTGAACAGCTATTAAAGCATACTATTAAGCATAAAACATGCCTGTGCATGTGTGCAACCATATGAGTAGTCAATACTTTTTTATTTTTTTAAAGAGAATTTCAGGATCTTGAATATCCTTTCAGAAATCATTTTCATGCCCTTTTCATTCTTGTGAATCTAAGGTAATATTGGATGTCCTTTAGACAAGGTGAACCTAAGAAAGATCAGATATGAGACCCTGAACCAAATTTAGACGTAAGTATTCTCTCCTAGTTTCAGTAGTGTGTCCTAGACCTTGATTCCCAACACTGACACCTTGATCACATGTGCTGAGAGCTGTCAGTAAAACTGTGGGGTTGTTTTAATGTCTGTCTGAACTTTATGAATTGCATGATGTGTGTTTCACTTCTGTGGTTAGCTATGGGTCAGTCAACTCCCAGATGGCTAAATGCTCAACTGCCCAGATGTGATCTTCGGAGGAAGTTCACTTATTTCTTTGATCAACATTTGTTCTTCCTAACCTCGAGTTACACTGCATTTCTTGGTAAAGAGAAGCAGATCAATTTGCGTTAGTGGAGTCATCCCAATATTACACTGCAGTAACCAAGAATAGACTTTGATCCAAGGACTTTAGGGAATGTACAAAAGCAGATGTAGTTTTCCCAACACATGATTTAGCTGATGCCAACCATAAATGTGTAAATAGGCTTTAACCTTGCTTACATGTCCTCTTTAAAATAATTCAAAAAAAAAAAATGATCAAATTTTAACATTAAAAAGTAGTGTGATAAACCAGAAATTCCACAGAATCATACAAATGGCACAAACAGGTCAGTGTTTCAGGGAGCTTTATATCAGCATGCAAACAGAAATCTGGATGTGCAGTTATTTTGCATGTGAAAAGTTACATCTATATTATGCGTACTATTATGAGGAGTGGCTGAGGTCAATTGGTTTGTTCAGCTTAGAGAAGGCTGAGGAGTGACGTCATCACAGTCTACACCTTCCTCGGTGGGGGGCAGCGGAGGGGGAGATGCAGATCTCCTCGCTCCGGTGACAGCAGCAGGATGCGAGGAAATGGAGTGAAGCTGCGTCAGGGGCAGTTCAGACTGGACATTAGGAAAGGGTTCTTCACGAGAGGGTGGTCGGTCACTGGAACAGGCTTCCCAGGTCATGGCACCAAGTCTGTCAGAATTCAAGGAGTATCTGGACAATGTTCTTAGTCATATGGTTTCCTTTTAGGTAGTCCTGTGAGAAGCGGGAAGTTGGACTTGTTGATCCTTATGGGTTCCTTCCAACTTGAGATATTCTATGATTCTAAGACTACAGATTATGAAGACACAATACTCCAGATAAGGCTTTTATTTCTCCACTTCACCACTTTACAGAAAAGAGGGGATATGAACATTCAAGAACACTTCATGCAGTTGTTTTCTAGATCTTTCCAAATTCCTTGTTCTTCCAACTATATTACTCTTGCAGAAGTCTCTGAGGGGACCCATAGCTCTACTCATTAAAACACATCTGTATCATATCCTTGGGGATTTATTTCAAAACAGTTGGATAGCCAGTGCAGGCTGGATATACTGAGGTATTCTGCTAAATACTGTGCCTGTCTTCTTTCATTTTCAAGACAGAGTAATTTTTGGTGGTTTTGACATTGAAATGACAGAAGAGTACATCTCTTATTATATAGGTCTTTTTTGAAAATAAAAGAGAGCGGTGTTTTGTCCAAGACAGAGTATGATTTTCTTATTGCTATGCTGTTCTTTCAGATATTGGATATGCAAGCTAAGTCTTGTATACGCCAAAGACATTGTATCTCTTTGACATCTGAGATCTCATGCCCTTGATAACTGATAAAAGTAAAAATGTTGTCAGATTTCTCAAAGACTTTCTCACCAGTGTGTATTAATATATCTTCTAGTTTGTTGCATTAAAGAGAGCCGAATTCTGATTCTTCCCTGCAGTTAGACAACTTGTGACAGCAGAAGTTGATTCCATAGAGGAAAATACATGATAGCTGCGTATCAGGGTTTTCTTCCTTTACAGCTGAAGAACGTGTCTCCAAGAAACACTGAGGTTTTTGTAGACAGTGGCTGGCGGGTGGTTTTGTGCCAAGGCTGAAGCAAACTTTTTTTCTTTGTTTTGCCTCCTCTGTCAAAGACCTATGATGTCGTGATTGGAGATGCGAGCACAGAGCCATTTTTGGCTTTGCTTTCTAGAAGATTTTGGTTGCAGCAACTAGGCAGCAGAGTAGGTAGTTCAGTAATTGCATCTGTTTCTCTTCTGTTGTCTTCTCGAAGTTTTCTGGGACAGGGGCTTCTGATGGTGAAGTCATTTATTTAGCTAATATTGTGGGGAACTGGGAAGAATCTGCATTGCTTAGTTATGTATGACTGTTTGTGCTTATTTATGAGGGGTTATTTGCAAGGGAAGTAGATCAGACGGGGCTGTCAGGAGAACCAAACGTAAAAAGCAACCAATTGCTTAGATAAGGAACATCCCAACAAACATTTGAGCTCTATTAATATCTGTGAAAAGGCAACTCCTCCACTCCACCCCTGATTACACAGCTGTTTGCTAAAGTCATGAACTTTAAGGTTAAAAGATCCACTGTGCAGGAAGGGAGGAGAGAAACTGCTGCGGGCTGACCTTGCCTTGCTGAGAGTCAGGGTCTGCACCACACAGGCTGTAATTGGGTCAGCCAAAACAAGTGAGAGCAAAAATAGGTACTTGAGTGAAATGCCAAGTATAGGTAAGACAGTATGTGCATAGGTCTCCTGGCTGTTCTTTAATCCATTTCTTGGAGTACTGTGCCTGCTTTGGCAAATAAATCATACTTTGTTTTGAAGAAACAGCTTCTGTTCTATTGCACGCCGTTGCTGTCCACAGAATCCTGAAGGAAAATTCTTGTGGGTGCCAAGCCCAGTTGGGACTGCTCAGTAAAATGGTTCATCCCCAGTGCAGTGCAGTTCAGAGACCTGCCAGAAAGTGGTTAGGCTACAGATCCTACCCAAAGGGAATGGAGACGCAGACGTGTTACTGGAAAGGGATGAACTTACCAAATGGGAAAAGACCTGACAACGTGCAGGAAGTAACCTTTTTCTTCTCTTTTCAAAATGGTCTGTCCAGGAACCTGGCAGATGTTTAACACTTCTGGAGTATAACAGCAAGTCAGGGAGATGGCATCAAGTAAAGCCACCAACCAGGATGGCTGACCTAGTGCCTTTGGCGGTGGTTAATTGACTTGAGAAATTAACGTGTCTCACCAGCGAGGAGCCTGCTTCCCAGCCATGTGGTGTGCCTCTGATCTAGGAAATAAACAGCTGATCTGAGACCAAATTTTGGCTAATTCTGGTGAGCAAAACTCAGGTCATAGAGCTGTACTATTTGAGCTTCTGGTGTTAAAAGTGAACTGGTGTTTTCCTTAAATTGTATCAAGCAACTTTTGTCACAATTTCACATCCGTAAGATCTTTATGTTTAGTTTTTCAACTTTTTATTTCTATCTCAGAAAATGCAAAATAACCTAGCTAGATTTCTGAAATTCTTTATATCACTTCATGTGTATCTTTGTGTCTGTGTAACTTGCCTTGGGATTTACCATGATTATCTGTGGAAAAAACCATAACTACACATGCAAATAACCCATTAGATGTCTAGCTGTAGGTATAGTTGCAGCACAAGCCCATGCAGGATTGAAAATCTTACCCAACAAAGAGAAGCTGTAAAAGTTGCCTTTGCTTATATGCCATCTACTTATCTTAGGTAGAGTTGTACCCAGGGATTTGGTAGAAACATTGCAGGGCAATGTGCCAGCACAAGGTGGGGAAGGTGAGTGGTCCATCTGAAGAACAGTCTTTTGCTCGTGGTAAAATGATTTCTTTAGACCACTTTAATGGTACATGCAAGAGAGATTCTACAGATTTCACGTGTTTTCCAGTAAAGATTGGAGCTGTATCTGAAGCAGCCTTTTCTGTTTACTCGCTGTGATTTTAAAAATTAATTTGGCTCCATCACAGTATGCACAGGCATTCATGCCAGTGTTCGACACTGGTGTTTAGTCACATGAACTCTTGATACGTGCAGTGTATCATTCTGTTGGCAATCACAGGAGCCAGGTAGGGTAATTACTGCACTCATTACAATGAGTCCCTGGTATATGCTGGCATAATTTGAAGTTGGTTGCCAACAAGTAATGCATTTTTCTGAATTATGGTGCATTGAGTGTCTTCTAGGAAGCATGGCCTAGTTCCATACCTTTATGTCAAGCAGTGGACTATTCTTCTCCCATAATCATAGATATATAGTTGTGAATGAAGAAATACTGTTTCTTATCATCAGTGTCTGTGGGTGCAATGACAGAGATTACAGACTCAAAGCTGCAGTTGATGTTGACATTGGTATGCTGGAAATGGGGCAGGAGGCCCCACTAAAAGATTGGCTGATCTTGATATACTGGTAGTCAAATGAGCTTATAAATGATTCTAGTTCCCATGCACAGTGAGAGGCAGTCATTTGCATGCTGTTACTCTATTTGAATTGAAAGATAAAATTTATTTTGAACTCTTCACCTTGCTAATAATTTGTACTGTGACCTATTTTTTCCCCAAGAATAAAGCTTCTGTCATGGATACTAAGGCCAAATGGAAGGTTTAGACTTGATCAAATACGTTATTCCTGTTTAGCTTCTGTGGTGACCTTAACAAATATCTCTCTGATAGAATCAAAGCTCATTAACTTTGATTTTGGAAGAGCAGCCTAGCATACGTATTCAAAATTAAGCATATGCTTAGATAACCTGAGGAGTAGTAAGGAAGATAAGCATTTGTTTAAGTGTTTTCCTGAATCAAAGCCTTTGGGAGTTTCCTTCATTCAATCAAGAAGCAAAGT